GTCCCATTAATGAATGGTCCCTTTAGTGGAATAATTTTGCTTCAGGAGAAACTCAGAGTGAGTTTCTCTTTCTCTTTGTCACCAACTGGTAATGTCATCATTGTGGCCCAAGGGTTCTCTGAAGACCAGTTTGGAAACCTTGAGCACCTGAAGTTACTTCTGCTCCTCAACCAGATTTGCAAAGTAGAGAAAGGGAACTTCTGGGAGACTTTAGATAAAAGCACTCTAAACAACGAAGTATCCCCACAAATGGTCACTATAGCCTAAGGAAAGCAAGCTCACAGTTGCTGAGTGAGGGGTGCAGGAAGGAGCTCTGCCAGGGGGCTCTGAACTGAGGGGAAGATGTACTCCTGCTGAGCAGACTAGGTAGGTAGATAGAAGGGGAGGGAGGAGGAGAGAGGTGGGTGGTTGACTACTCGCACATCTTCGGCACTTGAGGAGAGGTCTGGGAGTACAGATTCTGTGAAGACAGTGAGTGCGCTGGCTGGCCCGTCTTGATAGAGAAGGACTATTTTATGTGTGCTGATTAGAGGTGCTGAGGGACTGGAGTGACAGTAGGTATGGAGACGGAATGGGATACTAGTTTGGTGCCTGGCACATAGAATGTGCTCAATAAATGTGTGGATGAATAACCAGAATGTGGGGTGTAGTTAATGGTGAATCCAGAGCCAGCCAAGCAAGTCTGAATTCTGGTTGTACCACTGCTCTGTTCTTCAGAAACAAAACCTGACATCCCTGAACTTCAAGGACACAGTGTCTGTAGCAGACAGAGCCTTCTTTACAAATCTCAGAAGTCATACTCCCACAAAGTGAAACCAAAAAGAAAATTCATAGCTCACACAGCTAGGAGGTGCCCCACAGGACCCAGTGTCCCCAAGACTTTTTCCTCCTTGTCTTTGTCTGACTTCTGTAGATAGGGAGGCCTATCTTCTGGAGATAAGGTGGTCATTTGCAGCCCAAGCTCATAGTTAGAAGGAGGGCTTTTCTCTCTCAGCATCAATATACCCATCCCGGAGGAGGCCTGATGAGCCCTGCTTTGGGCCTAGCCAGACCTAGGTTCTATGGTGACAGAATGGGTGATGATCCTAGGAGCAGGGCGATGGGAAAGTCAGGTGGGCATACGAAATAACAATCACAGCACCTACAATGCCTAAAGGTTACATGTATTTGTGAAGGCATGATGGGGAAGAGCCCCTGAAAATAGAGCATACAGGTGGGAACAGAATGGGGTTTGGCCTAGTTATAATTAGGATTCCTGTTAGCTATCAATCATTTTGCTCTACTAGAAGCCAGGCTCTGGTCAGGGTAAGTATATGTTACATATATCATTTCTCACGCTCACAACCACGCTTCAATAGGTATTATCAGCCCCATTTCAAAGGTGAAGAGATGGAACTTAATGTCACCCAGGGAGTTAGTGACTGAGCCAGATTCAAACTTGGGTCCTTGGGGCTCTGAGCCCATATTTTCACCCAAGGTCAGGCTGCCACTTTAGAAGCCAAAAGCTCACCAATGGTTTGTAGTGCACGCTTGGAGCCCTAGCAGGTGCAGCTCAGCCTGGAGGATAGCCGCAGCTCGCATGCCCTTCCCGGCTGCACACTCCCTCTGCTCCCATGTCCCACAGAACCATCGAGGGCAGTGGAGACAAGCAAATCACGCTGTAATTCATGGGCTGCTTCAGCAATGACATTTCTCCAAGATTTGATCCCTCAATTGGTATCCTGCCTGGAATTTCTAGTATCTAACTTGCTGAGTAAGAGGAAATAAAGAAGGGCTGTTTGGAGGGACACTGACATGGTGAAAAACCACAGGATTTCATCTCTCACCTGAATTTGGGAAATATCTAGAGCCCCTAAATGTTCTCCCTAGGGGCTTCAATGCTGCTGTTCAGCCCAGCTAGGGTGATCCTTCCATTGATAAACCATCCTTCCTGCACTGACTGTTCACAGGTTCAAGAGGGTCCCTTTGCCCACACACATTATGAAGCTCTCACCTCTGCCCCTCATACCTAAAAGAAACTTGGGACAATAGGATAGGGAATGAACCACATGTGGCTATTTAAATTTAAATTATCAAAAAATTCTACTCTTCAGCCACACTAATCACATTTTAAGTGCTCAATAATCTCGTGACGAGTGGCTGCAGTAGTGGACAGTGCAGATACAGAATGTTTCAATTATCAGTGAAAGTTCTACTAGATAGCGCTGAGTTGGGCTTTTTTCTTACAAAGGAAGCCCTGATCGGCTTCCCTGGTGGCACAAGGAGTTAAGCACCGCACATGAAGCAATCTTCAGCCTCTGCAGCACGCATTTGATCCCCAGCCTGCCAGGGAGCAACTCACATGTCTCTCTCCTGTCTCGCCCTGCTGTTCCCCTCAGCAGTGTGTTTCAGTCAGTCTGTCTGTTCTGTTCCCCACTCTGTCTCTGGTGAATCCTCTCACCCCACCCCCCGCATCTCTGGCCTGTACCCCAGCTGTTGTATGCATAAATAAATAAATCTTTATTTTATTTAATTTTTTTTAATAGAGGCATGTTTTATTTATTTATTTGTTTGTTTGTTTGTTTGTTTTGTTTATACAAGCACTGGGTACAGTCAGAAGGGCGGGAGGGGGAGAGAATTCACCAGAGCCAGAGCGGGGAGCAGAGCAGGCAGAAGGACCGAAGTACACTGCTGAGGGGAGCAGCGGGCGGCAGGAGAGGTCCGCACGCCATGTGGGACCCTCCTCTGGTGGCAGGGGAGCAGCCGGGGATCGAACCGGCATCGCAGAAGCCGCGGGCAGCTTTGCAACCCAGCACTTAACCGCTGCGCCACCGGGGAGGCCCAAATAAATAAATCTTTAAAAACAAAAACAAAAACAAAGAAAGACCTGATCAAGGAATGTTATCAGATTTAGAGGAATCCAGGGTAGACTCAACCCATTCAATGCCTCTTTCCACAAATATTTGGTACCTACTGTATTCTAGGCTCTGAATACACACCAGTGGTAGCAGTTGTTCCTTTCCTGGGAGTGAAGAGGCAATTGCTAAGGAGGGCCTAATCCCCAGTTGGGGATTCAGGAAGGCTTCCTGAAAAGGGGAACATCTAAGCACTGACCTGCAGAAGGAGGATGCACTCCCTAAGCTGAATTGCTCCCCAGACTAAGTCCTTTTTGGCCCTGGGTCACTGACTATCCCTGCTGCTAGCTCTGTTTCTCTTCTCTTTTTACCCCAGGGTGGGAAGAACAGAAGCTAGTTCCTTGAAATTAGTCCCCAGCTGGGACCAAGTAGAGACTCCCTGTTATGCCATGAACTCAAGAGCCCTGTGCTATAGGGCCTCTGCATCCCTCCTCTCCCTCTCCCCACACCCCCAACTCCAAGGACATATGGCCTTAGGGCTAGGTGAATTCAGAGCTCATTAAAAACAACAACAACAACAACAACAAAAAAAAAAAACCGGTCCTAGGGTCTTTGTTGGCACAGGGTGGAGGGCTCCACAAGAGAAGTCAAACCTGCAAATCTGGTAGGGTGTGCAGGAGTATGATTGTATCCTGAGGCCCAACCCAAGGTGAGTTCCCCACCTTCCAGTCCTAGGAGTGTAGAGGAGAAAGAAGGGAGTGTAGAGAAGGGCCACCCCATCCAGGGCCTAGAGGGAGCCAGACAGATTAATAGAGCTGAGGGGGGTTATCTTGGGGTCTCCTATACCCCAGTTTCTGCTAAAGCCCCCAGCAGCTAATCCTTTCTCACATAGCAGCACCCACCCTACTTACCCCACCCTCTGCCAACTGAACCCATCCTGCGGCTGCCTCTTCCTGGTGCCCTGGCCACAACCCTCTGTGATATGAAAGTGGCCATTCCCCTGTATGATCATTTGGGAGAGAGCAGCTAGAGAGCCATCAGTGCCCTCAGGCCCTGCACTGTCTTCTAGGTTTTACAGGGAATGCCCCACTGAAGGCTCCCAACCACCGGCTAACTGCAAGAGGACGATTATCTTCGCCTCTGCTACAGTAATTACGGTTTGGAGAAAGTAACTTGCTGGAGCCAGCAGTGATGGAGTCAACCAGCTCTGGCCAGCGTGGACCAGAAATCATCAGGCTTCGCCCTTGCATTTCAGTGTCCCTGGGGCATGCCCTCCTCCGACACCCCCCCACCCCCATCGCTGCTCTCTCCAGGGCTCCCCCAGCATCAGCCTTCGTAGGCTCGGGCGACTTCCTGCCCCACCAGGGTCTGGGGTCGGATGGGCCGGGGTCTGAGCCAGGGCCCAGGCTGGCGGTAGGGTCCGGGCCCTCCGTGCCAGGCTGAGCTCTAGGAGGCCGCAGAACAGCCCTTTGTTTCTCGGAGCTCGCAGCTTCTGCGGAGTCACGGTCACATGGCGCTTCCGGCGCGGGGTGTTCCGGGCGCCCAGCCAGGCCGGGGAGAGGGTGCCGGCAGGGGGACGCTCCGCCCCTCGGCCCAGCCGGGCGCAATTCGCCTTCCTCGCTCTCCCGCGCGCCCGCCCCGCCTGCCTGCAGCGCCGGCCTTCTGGGAGCCCCAGTCCTGGATCCTTGGCCGGGCCTCCCAGGCTACGCCCTGTTGGGCCAATCTGCTTCTTGTGTTCCACTCCACCACGGAGCCGTCCTTAGGTTCTGAGCCTGGGACTTGTGCGTCCAATATCCACTTGTTTCCTGGGGTTCACCTGACTCCCCTGCCCTACACATCCCCCCCACCCCCCCCACCCCCGTGCGCAGTCAGGCTCTTCCCGCCCAGGTGGAACACTGTAAGGTACATTGGCGGTGGATTAAGAACTTAATTAACTCTGTTTTCATCATTTACTGGGGTAGGACAGGCAGACAGCATTGAGCCCTCCCTGCCAGGACACCCACAAAGAAAACCAAATCAGCTAGGTCTTCCTTCCAGGGACCCTTTAAGGGCAAAAGGCTCAGTCAGGGGGCATGAATGAGGTTTGCCCTTCCTGCCCTGGTCTGGCCACCTCTGCTCTGCACTTCCATCATGGAAATAGCTTTGGGACATCCTTTTCCCCTTAACACATCTATGCCCTGGGATACTTGAGAAACCTTGGAGCTAAACACAGGCTACTGCTTCTTGCAGTCGATTCCACAACTCATTCAACGAACATTTATTGAAAGTGATCAACATGCAGGGTGACCAAGTCCCTCCCAGATGCCAAATCTGTTTTAAGCCCCCAAGAGAATGAGAGGATTCTCTCTGTGTGCAGGCAGTGCTGATGCCGTCCCCCTGCCTCTCAGCTGCCTTGAGGAGCTGGCTGCTCTAGGCCACCACTAGGTCTTCCTCCAGAACGGCTTGGAAGGCTGCTCTAGTAAACAGGGCAGACACAGCCTTTCCTGGAGCCTGGGACTGGGGAACTGGCCTGGAGACGCAGCAGGGCCTGCATTCACCCAGGCTCTGGGTGAACATGGGCTGGGGTCTTGGGGACCCTTTCTGTCTCTGGGCAACTCATACTAATGCCTCCATGGGGGGCTGTGGGGACTGGTGCAGGGGGCGGGAAAGGATTGGAGGGGCAAAAACGTGGCAGTGGAAAGGAGGAGACAGCCCAAGGAGCAAACTATGGAGCCAGAGTAGCTGTGCACATCCACTGTGCGGTTAGGGCTTAATGGGGAAGAGCAGGCAGGTGAACTGCCGGCTGCCGCTGTGTCTGTCCACCAGGGGCAGGGGGTGCTGCGTGTAGTGCTCAATCATGGCGGCCACGGAGGAGAAAAGCTGGACAGGGAGAGAGGGGATCAGTGAGTTTCCTGAGCCTTATGTGGAGAGAAACTTCCTAGAGCTCTGGCAAGGACAGACATTTTTCTAAATATTTTTTTTCCCTTTTGCCTCATGAAGCTCCCCTGCCCGACTCTGGGCCTCCTGTGATTTTGCTGTGACTGCAGCCACAGGCATGTTGTAGGCCAGCTTCATACTTCCAAGGCCAGATGGAAATAACTCTGGGGCTGCGCCTCTGCTCTGGTCCTTTATCTTAGGAAGCTGAGTGTGGGTGACCAGTCTGTTTCTTGTTCTTGGCACAGACAGCAGTCTTCACTACCTGGGCCTCATCGTCCTCCCAAATGGCTTCATTACAGCACAAGTGCCTCCACCTGGGTCCATTCAGCCTGAGCCATGCAGGAGGGGTACTCCCCAGAGCAGACTTCTGAAGGAGTTCAGGCTTCTGAAGGAGTTCAGGATGCTGGCTCCTGCCACTTCCACCCACTCCAGAAAAACAGAGTCTGGATTTTTCCCTTAGTAAGTGCTCCTGGCTCCACCCAAGGTACAGCTGTGTGCACACCCACGACCCTTCAGGCCCCTACAGTACCTACCTCTTCGTGGTTCCTGCCCTCCCGGCCCAGAGCATAATGGCGCCCACCATCCAGCCGCCGGATGGGAACGTTGAAGACCCGGCCATGGAGAAGCACTGCCAGGGTGAGGGTTTGGGAGCCATGTGGCTCTGAGCTAGGGCGCACGGTGTAGGCCCCATCCTGTGAAGGAGACCCCAAGCATCAAGTTTATCTTTCAAGAGACCACCTGACAGCTCTGACCACCCAATTTGCCTGCTGCTCCCTCCCACCCTGCCCCCCAGCCAGCACATAAGCAGAAGTTTCTGAGAAGGCACAAGGGTCTATTGTTGCCCACCTTTTGGAATCGTAGCAGGACATTCTCGACAGCTTGACGGTCGCAGTTCCCGGAGTACCATGGTTGATGCAGCAGACTGCTGTCCTGTGTAGACACACAGCCACTCAGAAACGTGCCAGGGCATGGGGGTGGGGAGTGGAGAACCCCAGGTTGCAGATATACGTGTTCACGTCTGCCTTCCCCAAACTGACTCCTCAGAAGCTGATCAAAGATGCACCCATGCCTAGATTTCAAAACCACGCCTGGTGTCCCCTGCAATGGTGGACACGGCCCAAGAGAAAATCCCAAGCCTCCTGCCCAGTGTTCTCCCACCCCTCCTCACCTCAGCAGCCGAGGTGCTCCAGGTGGAGGCTATAGAGGAAAGAGAGGATCTCATTCCTGCTGCAAGAAGCAGATCAGAGAGTTAGCATGGAGGGAATTAGGCAGAGGAGGTCTCCAGCCCAGCTGTGGGGGTTCAGAGGGCACAGGCAGGTGCCTACAGGCCTGAAGCCCAAAGTATGGTAGCCAATGCTTTCTCCTCTCCAGGTCTAGGACTCACCAGCGAGGTCACGCACGACCTCCAAACAGGCAGTGTTCTTGAAATGTCGCCTGAGAGTTCCCCGCTTTGGTGAAAACCCTAGAAAATGCCCAAAGAGGTCCCTTCAGGCCTGCTCTTGGCTTAAATCAATGCTGGAGGCTCGCCCTCAGCAAAGTGGGGCCTGAGACTGGGTGGGACTCTGTGGCCTGCAGGGCTGTGAGTGGGGTGGACCCTGGCATGACTGCCTGGGTTCATGTTGAGGATGCCTGTACTCACCTTTCGAGGTGGCATTCACTGCTCCCTGGGACACAGGAGGTCTGGTCAGAAAAGACTTGGCCCTGTAGGTCTGCTCCCCTGAGCCTTAAGTCCCATTTTCCTCCCACCTCTTCCTCCCCCACTCCCTTCCTCTCTTCCTCCCTTCCCAGCAAACTTCTCCCCATCCGCCAGCCTCTTACATTCTTATCTTCTTGGAGCTGTACCATGGCCCTGTGGGGAACAAAATGGAGAGTAGAACTTAAGGTGTTATCTCCTCCTCTTCTCCCAGGATCAGGGCTGGGAAAGCCTGAGTTGGTGCTGTCATGCGTGTGCCCTCGTGCTCTCTCTCTCACACACACACTTGGTGGGTCACTCACCTGGGCATCACTAATGTCCTTGGCATAGTGGCTGGGGGTATCAGAACTGGGGAGCTCGGAGTCCGAGTCAAAGCTGGGACTGAAACAGAGAGGGCAGACTGGTCTAGGTACCAGGCAAAAAAATCCATGTGGGCTTGGGGGGACTGAGGATAGCTGCAGGGTCTGCTAATTCTCTGCAGCTTGGACTTTTTAGGAGTCCATACAACCAGCTGGGAAGCCCACAGAGCCCTTGGTCTAAGGGATTAACTCCCTTGTGGGCACAGTGTGGGCCAACCTGGATCAGAAGTGGAAATGCAGATATCCATGGGGTGTCTGAAGGCAAGTATGTGTTGGTGAGTGTGGAGAGAAGACAAGGGAAGAGGATGGAGCCAGGAAAGGAAGTCAGACTATGGGTAGCTGAGGGCCTTAGGGCAGGATGGATCTGAGGTGGGGGAGGTGTTCACCTGGACTGGGCTCACACTCCAGGTAGATGTCTTCATCGGGTTTCTTTCGAGAGTCTGGCACCTGAAGTAGGGCGGGGTATGTGGTCCCCAGGGTTTGACAAGTGAGTAGGAGGGATGAGGGGCCATCACTTGGGGGCAGGGGAGCTATGGGTACCTCACTCTCCCCTCATAAAGGGTCCTCTTTCTGGGAGCCGGCTGGAAGGATGAAAACTGTTCCTTTGCCTGGGAAGGGCACCTCAAGAGCACCTCCCCTTCTTTCTGGGGTGACCATAGGACCCAGCTCTCAGAGAATGTGGGTGTCCAGGAGGAGCTCTGGGTGGCACCTTGGGGAGGACAACTGGCTTACACCCCGGCAGGGGCCTGCGGCAGGCAGAGGGGGCAGGGGTCTGCTTTGGGCCTTTCTTCTTGGTTTCAGGGATATTTCCTGTCCTTCCCACAATGCCCTACCCCCACAACCAGACCAACTTCTTTGCCAGAACCCTAGAGTGTGAGGTGGGGAATGAAGGGCCACTCACCACTTTGGCTGGTGCACCCAGTTCTAGAAGGAAAAAGAAAACCACTAGTCATGAGTAGGAAGAAAGGAATCCAGTGACACTTAGGCTGGAAGAGTGGCACATCCTTGGAAGTTATCTGAGGAGATCCTCATAGTCAGGAAAAGGCCATGCTCACCCCTAGTCACCTTACTTCACACCCCCAGTGGTGTTGCCTGTCTTGATTTCATGACTGATTTGCCAGGCATGGCTCCAAATGACTTTGGGCTGTTCCAAAACTCAAAACCACCCTCAAGGTCATGAAGTTTACCAATCACTGAGCGTAATAAAAATGAATGTGCCTCAAGTTAGCTTTTGATCTTGGATTCTTTGATTTAAGGAGGGGCGAAAAGCTCCCCCTTCTAGGTCCATTTCATACAAAAATATGCTGCCTGGGTTCCCTCCCTGTTCCAACATCCTTGGTTATAGTGTCACAGGCCTCATGGCACTTAGCATGGAGGAAGTCTCTGGACAGTGGTGGCAAAAATAACATGGGTGGACTCAGAGGTCCAAAAGGACCCCTTTGATTGGGGATGACACTCGGATGCATTTCAATAGTGAAGGTCCTCCAGGCAGTCCAGGCGGCCCTTCAGACCTGTCCATCCTGGGTGTCCCTCGCCTGAAGGCTCATGCAGAAGGCACCTGGGAATCAAGAATTCTGCTTCTGTGTGACCTCAGGCAAAGCACTGCATGTCTCTGGGCTTCATTCTCCTCCTCCCTGCCTTAGGAAGGCTCAGCAGGTAAAAAGTGAGCAAGGGCTGGGAGAGTCAGGGACCAGGGAAAGCTTGAGAGCAAGGAGAGATGCACTCAACACCATCCTGAGCTGCTGGGATTCCCTTCTCAGGCCAAGGAGTGGGTGGGTTTCAGAAAGAGAGTGAGTGGGCCTTAGAAAGAGATGGGACATCCCATCACCTTGCCTCCCAGAGGGCTGTCCAGGCTTCACACGCTCCCTCAGGCTTTGCTGCCTTGTCTTCATCTGTGGGCACAATGGGGCAGTGAGGGAAAACCGGGTTGGGGGTGGGTAGCGGTTATGGAGGGAGAACCGACGCTGCTGGTGGGCAAAGATGGTGGGGTGGGAAGCGGTGGCTCTGCTTATATCTATGTAGCTTCACCCCCCCCCAAATAGCACCCCACTAAAACACTAGAGTTAATGAACAAAGGAGGCAACTCTTCTGCGACCTCTATTCCATGGCCTCTATTCCGTGACTCTTCCTTTGTCGTATTCTTTCACTGTTTTTCTTTATATTGTAGTAAAATATAAGACAAAAGCGGTAACTTTCCCAGCCCATAACGGGGTCACCGCGAGGGTGAGAGCTGGCAGTGACTGACAGCTGAGAGGGACCTCACTGTAGGCAGAGAGGGGTCTTCTCGTCCAGGATCCAGGGAGAGGCAGCTGGGCCTGTGCCTCACCCCCACTCACCCACCCTCTTGGGCGAGCTGAGCGAGGCTGGGGTGATGCTGCGGGGAGAGGGGTTGGCCAGGGTCAGCAGGTGGGAGGAGCGACAGCTGACAGGGTTCCATCGTCTGACTGGCAGGTAATTTTTCAGCGGCCTTTGGGATGCAGATGGCGGGAGGGGGTGCGGAGCGGGGTTGGGGGGAGGAGCCTTCCTAATGAGGTGCCTCTTAGATTTATTCCCTGGGAATTGGTGGCCTGGGGCAGAGCAGGTAGGGAAGGGGGCACTCATGGGGAGGCTGCTCACCGTTGAGGGCTGTGGTGGTGGTGGTAACCTGGTTGGGCCCAGAGGGCCAGGGAGGTCTGGAAAGAACCCCAACATTGTGGGTCGGTGGGTTTCTCCCACGGAGGTTACCATTTTCCTCCCGCCCCCCACCTAGCCTCTATTTCCTCCTCCCTCCCTCGCTCTCTTCCCCGCCTTCTGGCTTCCTGACCGCCCAGTTTCCATGGCAACTGGAGGCGGCCAGCTTCCCTGCCCCCACCTGGCCGCACCCCAGAGTGTGTTGGTGGGACGCCTGCGGCAGCCACGCTCTTGCTCTGAGAGGGCTGGGATCTCCGAGTGGGCAGCCAGGCCCTAGGGACCTTGTGGGGCCTTCAGCTGTCCTGCTGTTGCCCTGGTTACATCCCCTTCCAGGCGCCTCTCCCCTTCCCACTCTCTCCCAGTCTCTGCTCCTCCTTTTTCCCCCACCCTGTCTTTCCCTCCCTCCTTTACCATCGCATTCTCCTCGGCCTAGAAGCCTCAGCAATGCCAGCTGAGGCCTCTGGTCCCTGCACCAGAGCAGACAGAGATAGGAGAGGTAAGGCCAGCGCCCCCTTCTCTTGTGGGGGCCCTCCTGCCCTCACCCAAGTACAAAGAATCCTCCTCAGTGCCAGGAAGGTGGGCAGGAGCTAGAGTGAATGTCAGGGCCTCACAGGGGGGCAGTTCATATTCATCCTCGGCAGAGTTTTCCTCCTGCTGGTCCTTCTGGAAGGGGTGCTGCGTACAACGAATATGGAAGAGATGTGGGACTAGCCCGGTAGTGGTGGCTGCCTCATCCTGCCCCACCTCAGGCTCAGCCGCTGAACTTACCTTTTGTCTACAGGATCTCTGGCCATGCAGAGGAGATGGGTAGGGGGCATCTTCCTCCCAAGCTGGAGAGTCTGAACAAGAGACTTGAAGAGACTTGCTTCATTTCCTCCCAGCAACGTCCACTTCTACCATGCCTTGCCCCTCTCCCCTAGATACTAACCCATCCACACTCACATATTGGGACTCAATGCTTCATTCATCTCGCAGGGAACATTCATAACGGGAATTTCTAACACTGAAATGCTTAATATTTCTAAGCAGGGCCAGTGAGGTAGACATTTTGGAAACAATGGAGTCTTCCAGCAAGCTGCCTGTTCCACTGAGTCTCCCATCCATGTACCCCTAATTCTGACTACGACAGGTGGAAGACCTAAGCCCCAGTGACTTAGTAGAGCTGAACTACGATGGGCGGGAGGTATCCAGATTCACTCGGGGCGGGGGGGGCTCAACTTAGAGGGAACCCCATTCTGTTGGGCCCCTCTTACCCGCTGTGTCACTTACCTACATGTCTGGGGGGTGGAATGGGTGGTGGCCCCAACCTGCAAGCAGACTCTAGTCAACTCTGCCCAAGGGGCCCTTGAGTTTGTGTCAGCCAGACACTGTGCAACTCCAGGATGTCCACATCCATAACGATGTGAATGGCACCCTCTGGAGTGGTGGGACAGACTGGGACCAGGGCAGCCAGTGGTGGGATGGAGGGGTGGGAGGATGTGAAAGGTCTCACCAGGTGGGCAGGGAGGGCTTGGCCAGAGCCAGCAAAGCTGGTAGGATGACTGTGCCCGGGAAAGGAGTGGGGGAGGCAGAGGTAAGAGAGGGAGAGGAAGGTGGAAGGAAAAAGAGCCTCAGTACTCACCAGGGCTTGCTGCCACTGTGCTTGTCCTGGAAGAGAGTCAGAGAAGGGAGTAAGTGGGTGGTCAGTGCAGCTGGGCCCCCCAGGAGTGGGCAGTTCTTTGCACCTGGGCTGCCCCAGACCTAGCTCTTACCATGACCAAGGTGAAAGAGCTCTGTGTCCTGGAGCCCAAGCTCTGCCACAAATAACCTGGAGACAGGGCCCTATTGTTCCCATCATTTGCATCTCCCAAGCACCAGGAAGGTGGGCCTGTTGTGGCCTCCACCCCCTGACCAACTTCACTCATAGCAATTCCAGGGTCTAGTCCCAGATCCCCCAACATTGCCTCCCACAGCTTTGGTCTCTAATCCCTTTGTGCACCCCCCTCTCCTTCCCTAGAAAGAAGAGCTCTCCCATACACATCCAGGCCCAAAAAGCTGCACCAGGGCTCAAAGATCTCTTTAGCAATCCGATCCATGTCCCCTCTTCCCAGAGACTCAAACTTACCTCAGGACCAGCTAGATCAAGTTCTTTCCCAACTCCCAGAAGACGTGACATTAATTAATGGGCAGATGCAATTAAAAACAGGAGCTTGTCCTTGCAGCACTTTTTTTTTTTAAGATTTATTTATTTATGCATAAAAGAGCTAGTGTGTAGGCTGGCAGTGTGGGAGGGTTAGAGGATTCACCAGAGACAGAGTGGGGAGCAGAACAGGCAGATCTACTGATATACACTGCTGAGGGGAGCAGCAGGCGAGACAGAGAGATCTGCTGCGCCATGTGGGTTCCTCCCTGGCTGGGGATTGAACTTGTACTGCAGTGGCTGCTCACAGCTTCATAGTGCTGAGACTTAACCCCACGTGCCACCAGGGAGGCCCTGCAGACACTTTTCTTAAACCTTTTCTGCCAGCTGTCATTTGCTGGTGAGTGGTGATCAGTTAATGAAGGTTCAGAAATTGCTTTGATGGTTCCTTTTATGATGGATATGTTTATTCATTCAGTAACTATATGTCGAACATCCACTATATGCCAGACACTGTTCCAGGTGCTGAGATGGCTGTAGGAAATTTAAACAGGCAGGCATTACATGTGTCTTGCCTCACTGGGTTCTAACAATAGCCTTGTGATGCAAGTACAGGTATCCTCCACTTTTTTTTTAATAAAAGATTTATTTATTTATACAAGAACTGGGGTAGAGGCTAGAGGCGCCAGAGGGTAAGAGAATTCACCAGAGACAGAGCGGGATGCAGAACAGGCAGATTGACTGAAATACACTGCTAAGGGGAGCCGCGGGCGAGACAGGAGAGGTCTGCCATGCCATGTGGGTATCTTCCTGGCCGGCTGGGAATCAAACCCATGCTGCAGAGGCTGTGGACAGCTTTACAGCATGGCGCTCAACCTGCTGTGCCACCAGGGAGGCCTTCCCCCACTTTTTGAAAGTTCATTTAGCTACTTTGCTTTTATGAGAGACCTACATTATTAGTACTTGTGTTTGCTAACTGAAAGTAATCCAAAAAGGATTTTTATGGTTAAAAAAAAGAAGAGTTCAGTTTCTTTGCTTTAAGGGTAAGCTGAAACACCTTTATAGGAAAACTACTTTCATAGAGTGGGGGAAACCTGTGCTAGCTTTAACCCTGCATTTCAAATGAGGAAACTGACTATATTCATTAGCTCCCATCATAAAATACTACAGACTCAGTGGCTTAAACAATAGAAATTTATTTTTTCACTGTTCCGGAGACTAAAAGTCCAAGATCAAGCTGTTGTCAGGGCTGGTTTCTGGTAAAGCTCTCTTCCTGGCATATAGACAATCAACTTCATGTAGCGTTTCTTCTGAGCAAGGGTGGAGAGAGATCTGTGGTGTCTCTTCATTAAGGACACCAGTCTCACAGAATCAGGGCCCTACCTTATGACCTTGTTTAACTTTTTTTAATATATGTATATATTTATTACATCATACCCGTTTAACTTTATCTCCCTAAAGATCCTATCTCTATGCTTCAAAAATACGGGGGTTAGGGTTTCAAAAGAGTTGAGGCCATATTCTCACTGGGGGCCTGAAAAATTGAGTGATTTCTTCCAGATCACATAAGTAGTAAGTGTTGGAGGTAGGGTACTACCTAAGGCCTGCCCAACCCAGAGCCTGTGCACTAATCACTGAGTAGCCTATGCCTCATCTAGGATTGGGTCCTGACCTTTAATGGGTCAGTGACTTCCAGATTCTCTGTTGTCTGAGTGAATTTTGGAACTGTGACCTCTGAGAAGTGCTGTTAAAGAGTTGTTGTTTGTCTGATTAAGCTGAAGAACGAGGGGCCTCCCTGGTGGCACAAGGGGTTAGTCTCAGCACTATGAAGCTATCTGCAGCCACTGAAGCACGAGGTTGATCCCCAGCCAGGGAGCTGACACACATGGCGCAGCAGACCTCTCTTGACTTGCCCACTGCTCCCCTCAGCAGTGTATTTCAGTAGATCTGCCTGTTCTGCTCCCCACTCTGTCTCTGGTGAATCCTCTCACACACCCCACACACACACCTCTGGCCTGTACCCCAGTTCTTATATGCATAAATAAATAAAAATAAATCTTGAAAAAAAGGGGGGTGGGAGCCCATGTGGTGCAGTGGGAAAAACAGAGCCAACAAAAGCAAAGACACAATCCAGGCCGGGAGTCAGAGCCTGGGTCTACTCCCTGCTCTCTATTCCCTAGCTCACCTTTGTTCCACATAAGGCAGAAAACTTCCTTCACCCAAAGGACCTCCTAGGGACCAGAATCAGCAAGTCAAAGTCAGCAGGAGGATCTAGACACCACCCTAACTGCAAACCCCAAACTGAGCAGGTCCCCCAGTTCATACTGCCCTTGCCTCAGCCACACCCTCCCTCTGTTCAAGGCTTTGCATAGGCAAATGCCAGGGCAAGGGTAAGCCACAGGGGCCCAGGTAGAGGTGGAATCCATGCCATCTGGGGGGAGGCACTGACCAGGACAGATCAGGGAGAAGGGGAAGGAAGGAGGCCTGCTGCATGGCTCGGTCCCAGCCCAGCCTGCCCTGCAGGACTAGACTTCATGTTAACAGCGCAGGCTGATTTGGACATCCTTTCTCCGTCTTCGACACAGGAATGCTTTGTGTGTAACCACAGTCCCTTGGGATGAATTCCTAGAAGAGGAATTACTCAAAACTCATGCTTTGAAGGTATCCATGCCCCACTGTCTGCACTACCCGATGCCTGTTTTGTAGTCCTTCTACAGCACAAGCGATTCTCTACTTTCCAGATCTCAGCTACCAATCTTCAGTGAGGACATGTCACCATGTACAGGCCCAGGGTAGTCTAAATCCATTCAAATGAAACAAACAACTTGATAGAACAGTATTTCCCCTGTTTGCATGATCATAAGAATCATTAATGAAGTGCTGTTAAAGTGCTGTTAAAGTC